AACTTTAATAGATATGTATCATAAAAATGTACTGCATATGGAGAAAGTCTATGTATATAATCATATAAACATACATAGAATCATGTCCTTGTACACAATTCAAAATTTTTAAGTATTTTTCCTACTAGAGACTGTTCTTAAAGTTTCATATAAAATAGTTCTTTGCCATAATTAGCAACATATCAAGTACACCATGGTTATGGAAAAAAAGTTACAATGCTGGGGCTGGAGCAATAGCACAGCGGGTAGGGCATTTGCCTTGCACGCAGCCAACATGGCCGACACAGGTTCGATTCCCAGCATCCCATATGGTCCCCCGAGCACCGCCAGGAGCAATTCCTGAGTGCATGAGCCAGGAGTAACCCCTGAGCATCGCCGGGTGTGACCCAAAAAGCAAAAAAAAAAAAAAAAAAAAAAAAAAAAGTTACAATGCAGGGAGAAATATCCTTTGACACCAGGGTTTTGTAGACGCACAAAGGGGTCAACACAGCAAGGTTTTGCTCTAAATATGTGCTACAATAACAGTGTGTAGTGTTACTGGTCAAGTGTAAAGTCTTCTGAACCTCCTCTTTCGTCTAGGTTACACAAATCTGAGGACTCCCTCTCCCAGTACTCTATCCCCTACCCCCATCACTCAAATCCAGAACCATCACATTAAAAAACCAGGATTAGTATAGGGAATTCCCTGTAAAGTTTTCAACAATAGTGAAAAAATAAGAGGGAACAAAATGCAACCAACACCTTGCCTCACATTTATAAACTGAACATTTCAAAGGTAATAAAATATGCCTGGTAGTACCATCCAGTCGGGGAATTATCACGAACAGTTGGTACTATTTTTCTCTGCTGTTGTCCATCTTCTCATACTCCAGGAATAAAGAAAAAAACAGGGGGAGGAGGGGAGAACGAATCAACATACCTACTTGCAAAGCTAAGGCTGCCACAGAATACTCTGTGCAGCTAGTTCTAGAAATAATGCTTCCCTGAGATAAAGTAGAGACTCCACAGCACCACATAACAGTCCTGCCAACCCCCCGCCCCCCACATACACATACAAAGCTTAAGCACTTCTAAGAACACAGATTTAGAGAGCCTACAATCACATGTGTACACTCAAACAAGAGGAAATAAAAAAGCATCTGGGTGGAGAAAAAAATGAAGAGTAACTCCCCGTGTGCAAGTATCTCCTTGGTACACTATGCTGTACTTGAAATGAGAAGATTCTCTTTCCTAGAATGAGCTTCAACATCTTCAAACTGTAACATGAGGTAGACCCAATCCAAACCAGGACATGTTGCCATCAAGTCTGCTAGTTCCAAGACAACAGTAGTGCTGCTGCAGCCAGTGATTCCTTGGCATACAGACATGTTAAAATGATATTGGCAGCAGCACCGGCTCTTCTCTTTCACCCTCTGCTGTTACTATAGCTCCTTTTGCTAAATCTGCCTCAGAGTTTAGACAGGAGCTGGATGGTTCATAATCACCCAGCAGCTGCAGCTGAGCAATACTCAGCCTAATTGTGGCACTGGAGCAGCTGAGAGGAAGAAAGAAGATAATACAAACCCTACCATAGCCTTACACAAATTGCTACACATACAGCCAATAAGATACCAAGGTATTTTAATAGGATATTTTATTTCCTCTGAAAAAAAGCAGTTGAACCTCAGAAGGGAGCTTGTATTTGTATTATAGACTTTACATGTGAACTGAAGGTGACCTAAGCAATGTAGGATTCAGAACAATGGAAGAGCTTAACTAAAACTTCCTGTAAATATTCACACAACAAGCCACTACCACAAACATCAGCTTCATAAAACATGACTGATCGTTCCTGCAGTATAAGAATTGGGAATAAATGAGGATCTCTTCTTCAACTTGACATCACAACAATGCAAAACTACTAAAACAGCACATAAAACAATTAAAATAGCATAATGCAACGAGTCTCATCATTTTTGGCTCCACACCATACCATTATTTGATTACCTTTAGAAACAAAACATAACTCTTACTTTCTTTAGGTTCTATTGATCCATCTTCATAAAGCATAAATAAATAAAAACATTTTATGCTGAGAATTTCATTACATCTTTAAGAACTACAAAACAGAACGGAAATTACAATTATAAAAAAATTACTGTTACAGAAAATTCAAAACAGGTGAAATCCTTATTGCCTTTATGCCATACTTAACTTCTGAACTGATGTTACATAATTTTCTGAAAAATAGTGTATTTTATACTTGATGACAGAACAGTACCCATTAGTTTAATAAATGTTTTAATTTCAACTATTTGTCACAAGTAGAAGCTGACAATTAAAACCTCATCTATTCTCTCAAGAAATTAGCAAAATAAAACTGCAGCTTATGGCAAAGATTTATGAGAATTATATTTAATAAGTCTAATCTTATTTGCAACGGACAGCCCAAGTAGTCACCAAATACTGAGTTCTTTATCTAAGTATCTAACAAAGTATTAGGCACAGTTTTCTTTAAAAAACACAAAGGTTTTATATAAACTAAAACAGAAACACTGAAAGGCACGCAAAACAAATGTATGATTAATGAATTACACTCAAGCCAATACCTTTACAACCACCACCACCAGGCTAAAAGAACTTTGTCACCACTTTAGAGGCCCAACCCAATCACAACTTCCTGCCTCCTTCCAGATCCTTATTTTTTTGAAGCAAAATAGTTTTGAAAGAAATTTAGATATGGGGCGAGGGAAGGGGGAAGGATTCTTATACGGCAGAGAGAGAGAGATAGAAAACATGAGCTACAGAGTAGAATAAAGTCTAGAACCTTATTTTTATAGCAATTGCTTCCTGGCAAGTTTTTTAACAGTTTTTTAAATTCATTTGTATTTCTAAACATGAGAGCTTAGCGTTGCTTTTTTTAAGTTTTGGATTAAAAAATAAAATGAAAATTTTGATACAAATTCATTTTATAAAAAATGCTAATAATAATTAATGAGGCTTTCACTGAAGACACACTAGATTAAGTACACATGTAAAGAAAAATTACATTAACAAATTATTGCCTAAAAAGATGCAAAATTGATAAAAGAATTTTACATCAGCATTGGTACACTGGGTCACTAACACTCAATATTCTTTTAACGATACATAGCATTAAGAAAATTTATTTGCACAGATATTGATATTCAGCTTAAGAATTTCCTTTAAGTAAAAATAAAAACTTAAACCAAGTATTAACATTATACTTCAAGCCATAAGACAAATTCCACCTATCCCAGGAAGATAGGTCAAAGCTGTAATTTCACTTTCAGTTGAACAGAAAGGAGTCAATTTTGTGGTTTATGAAGTCAGCAAAAACATAGTGCAAAATTAAAGCTATTATAACATCATGGTGGTTACAGCAAAGCACGCTATTTTAAGAGACCTTTTATCTTTTATTCTGGAAACATGGATATGAACTATCTTGCATGCAGTTTTAAAGGCAATTTTTTTTTTCAAAATTAGGACCTTATGAGCTGTCAGCCAGCATTTAAAATCTCTACTGAAGGCTTCTGAATGTCCCAAACTTAAAATACTTCAGCTTGCTTTCCTTAAACATCAACTATGCAAGGGTCATATATTCACTTAATATATATATTTTATATATGCATAGTTTGACTAAACATTATGTGGGACTCAATGAAATAACACTTTCTTCGGAGCAATGTATGAAGATTATATATCATGGATATAAAATCCTTGGTGTCCAAGACTGTTCATTCAAAATGCCCTGTCCACTGTGTGCCTAGCACCGCGCTCCTTAAATCTTAGACTTATCACACACTATTGCCTTGAGAGCCTACATTAGGTAAACATTTGGTTATTATTTTCCTTAGTGTGTAATTTACTTTAGAAACTTAACAGACCGGTTAAATACACTTAGAACTGTCAAGATTTGGGCACTGTGATCCTCCAGTGAGGACACAAGAAAAAACTCACACACGTACGCATACGTGAATCATCTAGAATCAACTTTTCGTTATTTCATCTCTCGATCTTTAGACCATGTGTTATTTATGCCAAGCCTGTTACAATTAATTACGCGGAAGATAATGCAACTAACAATACAAACCAAAAATTAAAGCTGTTCCTTCATCAGACTTGCTGCCCTATGCCCAATTAAGAAGGGGGGGGGGGGGGCTGGAAGCAATCATCAAGACGAAACACACACTTGAAATTGTTCAGTAACACATGTGGAGAGACACACTCAAACCAACTGGGAGGCGAGTCGAGTGGCAGCAGACAGTCCAAGTGGATCCAAACCGCAGATTTCCCAACCCCCAACCCAAAACAAAGGAAAACTTTCGCAGGTTGCGGTTTTCAATCAAACCCGACCAGCGAGAACTCGCCCCGCGAAGCCTCATCGGCGACCCCGAGCCGGGGGCGACCCGCTGCACCAACCTGGGCACACACAGGGCGCGGGGCCGCGTCCGTCGCCCCTTCCGTCGGCCGGGGGCGCCTAAGCAGATCCGGCCCCGCGACCTCAAAGACGCGGTGGGAGAGACCCCCCCAGGGTTCCGAGGACCTGGAGCGGACCGGGGCGGAGACCGGGGCGCGGCGGCGGGGCGGGCGCGGCGCGGGGCGCCAGCAGGTAGCAGCGGGAAGGAGACACGCCCGCGCCGCGCCGCGCCGGGGGAGGGGAGAAGTTTGCAGCCAACTTCCCGACTCCGGCCGGCGGCGCTCCGAGGCGCCCGGGCCTAGAGCCGGCCGCTGCCCCGCGGGGTCCTTACCTGCCCCGCAGCCGCGCTCGCAGGAGTCGCCGCCGCGGGCCCTGGGGGTGGCGGAGCGGGCCGGAGGCGAGGCCCACGGGGCCCTCTCCGTCCTCCACCTCCACGGCCCGGGCGCCCGGCGGCAGCGACGACGGCACGGCCGGGCCCGGACGCCGCACTCCGGGAGGAGGGAATTCCCGGGCTCCCCCACCCCGCGGCCGCCCTCGCGCGCGGCTCCGCCCCTCTGCTCGCGCCGGGGGCTGCGGCTACCTGCGCGCGCGCCCCCGCGCCCCGCCTCGCCGCCCCCCGCGCGCCCCCGCCTCCGGGAGCGGCGCGCGCGCCCGCGGGCTCGGGGCCGGCCTGGCCGAGGGGCCTCGTCTAGTCCGAGTCACTCCTTCCGACCAACATGGCGGCGGCGGGGCCGCGCGGGCCGAGGGGGCGTGTGGAGGCGGGGGAGGCGCCTCTGCGGCGCCCCCTCCTCAGCCGCCGCCCCGGGTTGGCTGCGCGGGGGAGAGGGCGTCGGGGGCGCTCGGGGCTGTGTGGAGGGCGGGCCGGGGCGTGGGGTGAGTTTTCCGAGGGGTCCTTGGCGTCTCCCTTCCACGTCCCGCGCCCTTTGTGGTGGCGAGTGGAGACTCTGCCCGCTCCCTCGCGCCCCGGCCACCGCCGGCCCCGGCGCTCCCGTCTGGCCGCCTTCCGAGGCCGGGCTCCCGTCCCAGCCCCCGGAGCTTCCTGTTGACTGCAGGTCGGGCCCGAGCGGCCGAGGGGAGTGCGCTTGGCCCGTCTCCCGGCAGCGGGAGTTTCGTTCGGCTCCCCGGGACGGCGCCGAGGACGCCAGCCCGGCCACGGCCCGCCCGGGAACTGGCGCGGCGGCTCCGCTCCCGCTCGACAGCTGTGGAAACTGAGGCACACGTCCCGACCGCGGGGCCGCGAGCGCTGCGAAGCCGGCTCTTCACAACCTGCACACCTCCCCCTGCTCTGCCTGGGGGGCCTGGAGGAAGAGGGGAGCGAAGCGCAAGGAATTGGGGGGCGCAAGGCGAAGGGGCGGACGCTTCCCAGTGGGAACGGGCTGAGTAACTGAGACTCCTGAAGACTGGAAAGCGCCCGCTGAAGCGTAGCTTCCTCTTAGGGTTTCCTCTTCGGTAGATATCAGAACTGCGATTGAGGGATTGTTGGTTTCCTTTGTGGGTTTTTTTTTTGTGTGTGTGTGTGTTTGTGAAATTTTGAGTCGTTTTCGACGAACACGAAAGAGCACCGTCACACGGGTCAGTGTGTCCTGGTATTCTAGGAACTTGGGAAATGCGTGTAAGCATTTGACCCTTTCTCCCCACCCCAGACCCCAGCCCCTCTACCCCCCCTCCCCCAGCTCGATGAAAGAACGAAAGGTGTAGCGGCTGAGGTCAAGTTCACAGAAAGGCACACAAGGCACACAAAACTTTCACTTAGTGCTTTCTTGATTTGTTTTAGCTACTAAAAGTTTGTTTGCCACGAAGAGCCTTGGGCGGCAGTTTTCATGTAAACTTGTACTTAATGGTTTTGTTTAAACTAGAAAATAGATTTCTTGAGCAGTTTTCTAAATGAAACAGATCTTGTTGTCTGAAGCTTTCAACTTCAAACAGTAAGATGATAGATATATGGCTCAGTGGTAGAACACATACCTTTCATGTATGAGGCCCTGAGCTGAATCTCTGCCCTAAAAAAATCAACAAAATAATAACTGGGGCCCGAGAGATAGTATAGTAGATAAGACGCTTCCCTTTCCCAGGACTGTCCCAGTTTGATTTTGGGCACCTGATAGGGTCTCCTAAATCCTGCTTGGAGTAAGCCCTGAGTACTGTTGAGGGTGGCCCGAAAACAAACCCTCAAAATTAATAATAAATGCCCAGACCCCCAGCTTTAGTGGTGAAGTGGTTTCAGAGAGGTTCTTTTGGGTTTTAATGGTGGTGATGATGTTAAAACTCTTACATGTTTAGGTTAAATTAATTTATTGAGCTTTCTTCTCTTGGTCTTCATTTGAATCTTTTTGTTCCCTAATTACCTGTTATCTTTTGGGGGGATATTTATCAATCCACTTCCAGGAATATCTAAAGTTTACACCACACACACACACACACACAAACACAGAGAGACAGAATGAATCTACTTAATCTCTTACTGAACTTGGTACAATAGAATTTGCTTTTAAGTGAAAATCTGTTCATTTGAAAAATGGACAAAGGAAGTAGCTAATTTTCTTTGTCGCACCCAGACTGGATAGTCTGGCTTGATTATGTGTGCTAAGAGTGATAAGGAACTTAAATCTTGGAGACTCTGGGAGAGTCTGCAAAAGCAAAATGAATGAAATGTTAGATCCTTTGTAAAAGTCAAGTGTATTTAAGTTGATTAATGCTTACAAGTATTTGAGATTACAAATATTACATATTTGAGAGATTAGGAATTTTGCAATGGAGCACTTACTATCCCCCTGGAACATATGGGTTTGCCAGGAAATGTTAATGTGTTTAGGATAACCTCTCCTACCTGCTGTTCATAATCTGCTGCAGCTTCCGTCTTTGAGGTTACACTTATGATTTTGCCTTCCTGTTATTTAGAAATCCTGCATGGACTACAGGCATTGGTTTCTGCCTTTTCGCAACCATCTGCTAACCACCAATTCCCTTAAAATGCTGCCCATCCAATGGTGCTAACTACCGCAGGCCTGGATCTCTTCAGATCAGCTCAGAGCCTATAGTTGTGTGCATCGTTTTTTTTTTTGTTTGTTTGTTTTTGCTTTTTTGGGGGTCACACTCGGCAATGCACAGGGGTCACTCCTGGCTCTGCACTCAGGAGTTACTCCCGGCGGTGCTCAGGGAACCATATGGGATGCTGGGAATCAAACCCGGGTCGGCCACATGCAAGACAAACGCCCTACCTGCTGTGCTATCGCTCCATCCCCTATGTACATCGTTTTAGCCTTATCCTTTTCTACTGGGTCGCAACTCCTCAGCTCTATTAGAAGAAAATATCCAAACTCCTCCAACCAAAGATATAAAAGATCAGAATATATTATTTGTTCTGGAATATTAAGCCCACTGTGCTGAGCATAATGACTGGAGAGATACAGTAAAATAGCTCAATTTCTGAATGTCCTTGAATCTTTCCCTGCCTTTGGGACTGGAATCCTGTATTACAGTTTACATCCCCTCAACTGTGCACGAGTGGTCTAAGATCTAGCTTCTAATACGGTTGTGACCCAGTGGGGTCTATAAGTGTGAGGGTCACAAAACATTTAACATAAACTTAGGATTTTATAGAAAAGTTTGATTTGTATACCTCTTTCACATGCCCAGAGTCATGTAAACATTTCTCAGACTTAAGGAGTTTTGAGTGGAAAAACAGAAGCCACTTTCTTCATTCATAGCCCCTTACCACCCAAGAAACGCAACACGGGCAAACACTGCCAGGAACACCTTAGATTCCTTAGGTGTTTGATTTTGAATTAATTTTTGGTTGTGGCTTCAGAATTCTTTTACTCTTGCCAAATTTTCCAAAACCCTACATTAAGAAGTCTAAGAAAACCAATTCAACTGGCTATTTAAGGACACATGTACAACAGATAAATGTAACTAATGGCAATCTTCTGTGAACTTCAGCAAATTTAGCCCAACTTTCTGCTATACTGTTGTTCTCCCCAGTTTTTCACATAATCTTAGAATTCTACTCTGTGCTTGGTACTGCCTCCTCAATTCCAGACTTGTTTTTCTTTTTCTTTTCTTTCATTTCTGGTCTTTGCTGTTGGAATCATGTCTAACTTCAGGTCTTTTTGGTTTTCTCAAAGTTTAGTTCCAGTCCTGTCATATTTTAAAATTCTCTAGGTTCTGCTCCCGCTCCTCCTGGTACCCACTCTACATATTTGTAGGAAGTCTTGCCCATTCCTTCAAAATTTCATCCTCTCCACTTAGTTCCTCATTCTGTTCTGTGACAACATTTTCTAAGCTGGAGGGCTCCATGCCCATTGAGTAGGGGACACCTTTGAGGCTGTTAAACCAAGTTCCTCTATCCCAAGGTCCTCTGAGGACCCATACTCTACCAATAGCTGTAGTGTAGCCCTGTGATGTATCTCCACTCCCTGACACAAGTTTGGAATATTTAATATGGGGGAATGACACGAAGGGGATTCAGAGATTATTCCTGGTGACTGTATGAGTTGAGTGCCCAAGAGTAAGGGAATCTGGTAGCAGTCAATATGTCCAGGGCTGAGTGTGCCTACAACGTAAGTAGTCCATCACATTTCTCCTCACATTTCTTGGTTTCTTTTTGTTTATTATTTATTTATTTATTTATTTTAGCTTTTTTGTGTCCACCCAGTGATGCTAAGTGGTTCCTCCTAGCTCTGCACGGAGCAATTACTCCTGGAGGTGTTTGGAGAACCATATGGGACACCAGGAATCAAACTCTGGTTGGCCATGTGCAAGGCAAATGCCCTTCACGCTGTACTATCAGTCTGGTCCCACATTTCTTGGTTTCTGCCTGACCCTGAAGAATTCTCTTACTGTCCATTTTCTGAAATTCTTCCATTAAATTATCTGTCTGCCTAAGTAGAGAGTTTCCCTGTTCTTTACTTATAAGAACTACTAGTCTATACTACTGACCTGGACTGCTGGTGGTAAACTCAGATATGAGGGCTGTCTCAGCAGAGTAGAAGTGCAGCGTAGATAAGGGATCAAATGGAAATGGAGGGAGAGCAAGTTTTCTGAAGGAACATGAAGCAGATGGACAGGGAGAAGTAGGGATGGAGAATACAGCCTCCCAACATTAAGCATTTGTCCTTACACAGATGTAAGACCCCAAAACTAGAACAGAACTATCCCTGCCTTCTGCCTGCCCAGGACAGGCATTGCTTTAGATAGCAGCAAAGCACATTCTTTTCCAGAGCACTAACTGTATTCTTGGATATTTTTCCCAGTACAGTGATGATTCAAGCCTTTACCACCTGAAATTAGTTTTAGATGTTGGAACACATACCTCATCTTTGCCCCATAAGCTTGTAATTTCCTCTGTAGAAAAATCTATACTTGCAATTCCTGTAGCTATTACCAGATTCTTGGTCTTTACTTTTCTGATATATTAAGCTGATATGTGGTCATAATATGTCAGTGTCCTTGGCTTTGAGTTTAAACACATTAAAATTGCTACCAGAATGCTACTTCCTGGAAATCTTTACAAATGGGTTATAAAAAGTAGAACGTAACTTTGCTTTAAGGCAAAAAGTTAATATTAGAATGTTTACCTACACCAAAGTTTTAGAAAAGAAAGGTATAAAAAAGGCACATTCTTTTAAGTTACTGACTTTAGATAATTAATAATTTAGGGGCTGGAGCGAAAGCACAGTGGGTAAGGCATTTGCCTTGCATGTGGCCAACCCGGGTTGATTCCCAGCTTCCCATATGGTCCCCTGAGCACCGACAGGGGTAATTCTTGAGAGCAGAGCCAGAAGTGACCCGTGTGCATTGCTGGGTGTGACCCAAAAAGAAAA